CTAGCCCTGTCTGTAGATGCTGAATAAGCAGACTAATCAATCTAATCTAATCTGGCCCCAGAAATTCATTTTTGAGTGTCTGGAGAATGGGCATGTGATCTGTGGGAACAAACTGCCATATAAGACAAAAAATATAAAAGATAGAGAATGTCTTGGCAAGCCTATATGTGGTCTCATCATGTGACTAGCTTTATTCCTCATTGAGAAAAATGCAAAATAAAAATTTAAAAAAACACTTTTTGGTGAAATTTTGACAGTAAATCATTAATATCTCCATGAGAAATGAAGCTAATCACATGATCTAAAAAGATTTGGGAAGCCCCAAAGAATCTCTATCTTTTTAATCAAAATTTCCTTTTTTGGAAGATTTTTGCTGCGGTGTTGAAGAGTGAATCAATGAATGAAAATTCTGCCTAAGTCCTGGGCTGATAAAGAATGAGTCCTTTAAAAAGGCCTCATAACCAAGGAACATCGACTTTGTGGTTCCCTATCACTCTGAAAGACAATTTGCACGTGACCTCCTTTGCAACACCAGCTACGCCTTCGACTCTCTCTTGATCTTTACATTCAACTATGCCATCATCAATTCTTCCATCTACCGTGACAAAAGGGGACATAGAATCCAAATTCATATGGCTTGTCCCACCTGTTCCCCAATCCAAGCCATCTTCTATTCACCTTCCTCCTATGCCATGAATGCAATCACCTCATCTGGCATATTCTCAGCCTATCCAAAGCTTTCAGCCCAAGGACTTGGGCTCTCAAACCCTGCCATCCTATTTTCCAAAAACAGTTTGCGTACTGACTTTTCTCAGGTAGAAGCTGAGATGTTCTGGGAGCGCTACCATCAGCAGGGCTTTAAGTTTCTACGGAATGAATTGTTGCTCCCAGACACCCATTCCTGTGGCACTACATATGATTGCCCTTTGACAATACGGTCCACATTTGACGCAGGTTGTACTTTTGTATCCTTCAATTCTTCAGCCAACTACTTTATCACTCCTATTCCCACTATCGTCTGGCTCTTAGGCAGTCCTTTGTGTAACCACCCTCTCTACGATCGCCCAGCTCCATTTGTTAAACAGATTGACTGCCTAGAGTTGATTCCAATCTGGTAGATTTCACATATCGTTCACGTTTGTCCTTCTGAATAAAATGCCTTCCTGATGTTGGAATCTCAGAATCTTGAATGGCGGAATAAAAGAATGCCTTTCTGATGTTGGAATCCTGGAATTTCTCTGGGTGACCAGCGACATTAAAGCATCTTTCCATTGCAAATTGCAAATTCAGGGACGGCCTATTGACCAGAAGCAACATGTTGGTAAATTTTGTCATGCAGTTTCCAATCACCGGGCCAATGACAAGCATTCATCAGGCTCTAAATTTGTCTTCTGATATGCCACCTATTCAGGGTTGTCAAATTATAGAGGCTGCTGCACACAGGGTAGGCAGAGATGTGTTTCGATCTCTTACCGCTTTGCTTTGCTAGTTTCTAGGGTTTTTTTTTCTTTTGGGGTTTGGGGTGCATGATGCGGACGGTGTTTCTTTATTGCATATTTGAGGATTCCATTTATGGATCTGCAGTTCAATATATATACTCAACCTATTGGCAACTATATTCTGCCAGTGCAGGCCCACCTTTTCCTGTTTCTCCTGCTATGGCTCCCTCTACTCATCGTCAAAAGCGCTCCTCACCTGTAATTGTTTCAGAGTTAGAGGCTGATTTTTTTTTTTTTTTTTATCAACAACTTGTATAGCGGTGCTCGATGGCAGCCTGCTCGCTATCTACAAACACATATGCTACGCAACCCAGGTACTAAGTAAACTACTACAAGACGACCGCCCCCCCAACCAAGACCCTTCTGGTGTGCGCATCAAAACTTCCTGGAGGGCAACCCACCTTGTGAAAATGGTGCATTGGGATAAGGGGAGGAAACCATCGAGGTTCTGCTAGGCCCCATAGTCGTTGATTGCTGTTTGGGGGTTGCGCAGTGCAAATAAAATAAGAAAGCACCACCTGGGAGGTGGCAGGGTGTCTTGAGGCTGACAAGCCAGAGAAGCGCCTGCCTGAAACCAGACGCAGAAAGTTAGCGGTGCCGCAACCCGCTATAATAGTGGGCCACAAGCGTGAAGAAGTGAAACAGGTGCAGGTCTCCGAACCCTAAGGTTCAAGGGTGTCAATTCACCAATAAATCCTCCAAAAGGAGGAATAACCCCGCCCAAAGCGATTATCTGACCCCCGAGGGGTCATGGTTGAAGCCAAACGCTGTGGGGTTGTACTTCAGAAATGATGCAATATCCCCGAGAAAATGGGGATAGTGTACAGAGTATCTATCATGACAGCGAAAGAGGATGTGCTGGCAAGACTGCAAGGCAGCCCTGCAAGTGCAGCCATGAGGCTCATTGATCTTGAAGCGATGATAGTACGCTCCAATGGGCGCGTGGTCAGTTATGCACTGGCACATGCGAGTGAACTCAGTGATACTGTGTCCAAAGGTTGAAAGCCAAGGTCCTCCATTGAGGTAGGATGGCTGTATCGGCCACCTGTCAGGCTGTTGAAGCTCTAAGAATTCAGAGCCCCAGTAGGTTGGATCCTGGAAAGTGGAGCTCCACGAGTCCAGGACTGAGTGCGCGGCTGAGTTAGAGGCTGATAGCAGTGAAGAGTATGTTTCAGTCAACTCATTGATTGTCTATTCAATCGTTGCTGATCATTTGCAGTAATGCCAATGCATCTGAGGCTGGTACCAATGCTTCTGATATGGGTACTGATACCCTAGATGATGACCTACCAAGTGATGAAGAGGACTATGTATCTCTGCCTCCGTAAGTTTCTTCTTGCTTTGCAGACTTTGTATTGACCAAGGCACACAGAACCCAGAGGCGTGGTGGCAATTACAACAAGAAGAAATCCGATAGTACTGCTGATGCAACATGAGTGGCAGCTTCTAATTTCCAACTGTGCTGAGGCTCACCCTGGCTCTAGAAAAACTCGCAAGAGGGTTCCAAAGAGATCCCCACAGGCTGATATAACGGAGCATGAAGATGATGAGACACCAGCGTACGTTGTATTCAATAGTATTCGATCCAACTATCTCTGACATCATACCAGTGTGAGACACAGTCCAACAAAGAAGGTCAGAATGGTTGTGCTGCCCAAGACCCCAACTTGCTCTACTCTTCCTCAAGCACTGAAAACACCCTTTCAACCAAAGCCTAAGACTGTCAAGGAGGCAGCTAAGTCTATGTTTGTCTGGTTTTCCTTGTACATTGCCTCTATCTGATCTTGCTTCTTTTTTTCCTTAGCGATGATGAGACTGAGTAAGTGGAGGCGGCTTCAGCTGCTATAATCTACAAGGGACGTCGCGAGCTCAAGAGGACTCGCTATGTCTCTGGCAGAGTTACCACCCCAGACACAGAACTCAATGCCATTTCGTGCGCAGTGCGCCTTGCTGCTAAGCAGGCAAACTGCCAACATATTATGGTCTTTACTGACTCTATGGGCTCGGCCCATAGAGCGGTCGACCCTTCTGTGCACTCTGGTCAGGCTTTTAGCCTGTCAGTTTGTCGCGCTCTTCAAGAGTGGTTTGAGGCAGATGACCTCCGTCACGTTACCTTTGTCTATGTCCCTGATGGCATTGAGTTCCGCATCTGGGGCAGTAACTCTGCCAGAGACATAACAAGTCCTTTCGAGCTCGCGATGTCCCTTGTAGATGATGGCTGCCAAAGCCACCTGATACTGGTTGGACTGAGGGACAGAGCCATCAGTTGCAGCCAGTACTGTTAATGGGTCAGCCCTCGCTTTCACGATGAGCTCGTCTAGATATGGTCGCCTATCCTGGGCAGGATCACGCTTGTCAAAGTGGAGACGGTCTGCATAGCGGTCCAGTAACCGATCACCTGGACGAGCTTCAGGCGCAAAGGGCTCGAAGCTCTCAGTTAAGGTGTGGACACGCTCGTCCACCTCCATAACGGTGCTCTTGACTTTCCCTCGCATGGCTGGGGTCATCAAGGTGGCTGAGCGAGCATGTGGTGTGGCTCACTTAAGGAGTCCCTCGCCCATCATAGAGCAAAGGGGGTGGGTGTCCAAGAGGGTGGCAACACAGTACACTGCGCGCGTTGCCAACTTCTTCAGCATAAGGTGGACAGGGATGAGACCTGCCAAGGCCTCAAGACTGCCTGTGGGGGAGGTGCGAAAAGCACCCATGATCCATAGAGCAGCTTTGCGCTGCATCCATTTTAGCTGGTTCATGGCGCCTCTATTGTGAGCGCTGTCAAAATACCAGAGACGATAACTGTATGTGGCAATGGGAACCACACACGATCTGTAGAGGAGGCGCCGCCGTTTAGGCGACAGACCTCTAGTAGAGTTTCCGAGCATGCGCATGGCCTGCACAGTGGTGAACGCCTTGGTGGCATAGTAGCGGACATGCTCATGAAATGTGAGCCTGCGGTCAAAGTAGAAGCCCAGGTACCTCCAATAGGTCTTGGGCTTCAAAGGTGTTGCACTGGTATGAGGGGCGTACCCCAGGTCCAGTGAGGGATTGTAGGCATCTCGTCGACACGAAAAGTGAAACAACTCAGTCTTGTCATGTTCAAGAATGAGTGTGAAAGCAACAAAAAGTAGGTAAATAATCTTGTAGGCCTTACGCAGGCCCACATTATTATCATCGAGTTGTTTTTGGATTGGGCCAGAATGGTTCCGTCATCCACAAAGGAAAGCAGTGTCATGTTAAGCGGTGCCGCTTTGATGTAGAAGAGCTTCATTACCAGAGCAATGAACAGCCCAGAGATAACAGGCGAGAGAGCTGAGCCCTGCCCGACACCCATGTCCGCAGACCGCGAGTCGGATTGGAAGGCGTTCCAGCAGTAAACTGTGGAACGACCAACAAGATAGGAGGCAAAGAACTCCGCCAGAACCGGCGAGAACCCTTGCTTACGAAGTACAGCCATGAACATTTCATGGTTGATAGAAGGGAAGAACTGCGCGATGTCAAAAGCCAGCGCGCTAGTCTGGAGACCCTTAACCCACCCCGCTCGCACGAGATGGGTCAGAATCAATCCAGCATCCTCAGTTGACCTTTGGTGGATGCCGCCAAGTTGGTTGGGATGGAAGATATCATGCTTGACCGCGTCAAACTGTATCCTATTGGCAATCATCTTTTCGATAAGTTTACCAAAAGTGATGAGGAGTACGATCGGCCTGAAGGCCTTCGGTACAGCATAGGAGGGCTTATTCGGCTTCGGAATGATAACCGATAGCGACTCCTTGAATATATGCAGCCAATGACCCACCCGAAGGCAAGCGTTGGCCAACACGATGAAAAGCGCAAGGACGTGTTTATCCTTGAGCAGCTCCTTTAGGTGGACCCATGTGATATGGTCCGGTCCTGGTGCAGAGGAGTTGGAGCACCCCTTAAGGGCACTCAACAACTCATGCTCTGAGAAGTCAGCCCACTCACGGACTGGCTCATCGGGAAGCTCATCTAAGACTGAGGTGTCATACTCACGACCCGAGGCTGAGTTGTATGTGCCGTGAAGGGCGTCCCAAAGGTCGTCCATATCGTGGCAAGGCTGTTCGCCATTGCGAATAGCCTCACAGGGTGGTAGCTTGCGCTGTTTGACCCATTCCATCAGGTCCCATGGGCGCTTGCGAGAGGTAGCGATTTCTGTGATGTGTTCATCAAAGAAATCACACTTGGCGTCCTTACACGCCTTCTTGAACTTGTTGTAATCAGCGAGTGAGCGGCTCAGCTGATATACTCCGAAGGTCTCCGAGCACTCATCCGTCCACCAGGACTTGGAGCGCTTGGTAGGTTTGGACTCGGTCGAATGGGCAAGCCATGCGTCCGAGAACGCTGTCGCGATAGCATCAGCTAAAGCTTCAACGCCTTCCTTGGTTGCCGGGGCTGCGACAGGGATAGCCGCAAGATCCCGGAGAATATCCGAAATGAAAGACTTCTCAGCCTCGCTTCTGGGTTTAATTGTCCGTCGCCCAGATCCGGGCGGTTCAGGACCGATATCAAGATCTGTGCAGATCAGGACATGATCTGACAGACCCTGGAGATCGTGCTCCAATCTGGGCATCGAGATTAAGATCTCAGATGGAGCTAAGAATACAAGATCCAAGACGTTGGATCTCTGGTTTGGATTAGGACTGATCCGCGTCGGTCCATGGTTAGAAGGTCGTGCCCACTCGAGGCTGATCTGAGATGCGGTATCCCGCAGTAATATTGCCGTCGACGACTCGCCATGCTCATAGTCATCCCAAGTCATCGACACGCAGTTAAAGTCACCAGCCATGGCGAGGGAAAGTCAAGAGCACTGTCATGGAAGTGGACGAGCACGTTCACACCTTAACTGAGAGTTTCGAGCCCTTTGCGCCTGAAGCTCGTCCAGGTGATCGGTTACTGGACCGCTATGCGGACCGTCTCCACTTTGATGAGCGCGATCCTACCCAGGATAGGCGTCCATACCTAGATGAGCTCATCGCGAGAGCGAGGGCCAACCCACTAACAGTATTGGCTGCAACTGATGGCTCTGTCCCTCAGTCCAACCAGTATCAGGCGGCTTCGGCTGCCATAATCTACAAGGGACATCGCGAGCTCGAAAGGACTTGTTATGTCTCTGGCAGAGTTACCGCCCCGGACACGGAACTCAATGCCATCTCATGTGCAGTGCGTCTTGCTGTCAAGCAGGCAAATTGCCAACATATTATGGTCTTTACTGACTCTATGGGCTCAGCCCACAGAGCGGTTGACCATGGCGTGCATGCTGGTCAGGCTTTTAGCCTGTCAGTTTGTCGCGTTCTTCAAGAGTGGTTTGAGGCGGATAACCTTCGCTGCATTACCTTCGTCTACGTCCCATCTGCTCTGCGGTGGGATATCCATGGTGAAGCACACAAATACGTCACCGAACTTAAAGTCAGGGTTGGCTGCTGCAAGACGGACAATTCGATAGACACGCTCCGCTCTCAAGCTGCGCACTCAGTCTTGGATTCGTGGGGCTCCACTTTCCAAGATCCAACTTACCGAGGCTCTGAATTTTTAGAGCTTCAACAGCCTGACGGGAGGCCACTACAGCCATCGTACCTCAATGGGGGACCTTGGCTTTCAACTTTCGGACACAGCATCACTGAGTTCGCTCGTGTTTGCCGGTGTATAACTGGCCACGCGCCCATTGGAGCGTATTACTGTCGCTTCAAGATCAATGAGCCTCACGGCTGCACTTGCGGGGCTGCTCTGCAGTCTCACCAGCACATCCTCTTTCGCTGTCGCGATCGCTACTCTGTGCATTACCCCCGCTTTCTTGGGGACATTGCAGCTTTTATGAAGTACAACCCTACGGCGTTTGGCTTCACCCGAGACCCTTCGGGGGTCGGATAATCGCCTTGGGCGGGGTTATTCCTCCTTTTGGAGGATTTATCGGTGAATTGACACCCTCGGACCTTAGGGTTCGGAGACCTGCGCCCACTGCTATTCTTTTGCGCTTGCGGCCGCTATTATAGCGGATTGCGGCGCCGCTAACTTTCTGCGTCTGGTCTCAGGCAGGTGCATCTCTGGCTTGTCGGCCTCAAGACACCCTGCCACCTCCCAGGTGGTGTGATTCTTATCTCATTTGTGCTGCGTGGCCTCTGAACAGCGTCCGACGGCTTTGGGGTTTAGTGAGGCCTCGATGGTCTCCTCCCCTTATCCCACGTCACCATTTTCGCGAGGTGGGTCTGGCTTTATGGGAGCCTTGGCGTTTGAGCCATAAAGCTTGTGGTTGGGGGGGCGGATGTCTTTTAGTAGTTTACTTAGTACCCAGGCCGTGTAGTGTACGTGTTTGTAGATAGCAAGCGGACTGCCATCGAGCACCGCTATATAAATTGTTGATCAAAAAAAAAAAAAAAAAAAAAAAAAAAAAAAAATCGCTACCCTCTCAGACACTCATCCTCTCCACTCCATGATGGGCAAGAGACTTCTCAAGTGGGCTGAGCCCCATGCCCGCTCCACTGCCTTGATGACCCCTGCTATGCGGGGGAAAGTCAAGAGCACTGTTATGGAGGTGGACAAACGAGTCCACACCTTAACTGAGAGCTTTGAGCCCTTTGCGCCTGAAGCTCGCCCCAGCGATCGGTTACGGGACTGCTATGTGGACCGTCTCCACTTTGACAAGTGTGACCCTACCCAGAATAGACGCCCATACCTAGACGAGCTCATCGCAATGGCGAGGGCCGACCTTCTAACAGTGCTGGCTGCAGCTGATGGATCTGTCCCTCAGTCTAACCAGTATTTTTTTTTTTTTTGATCAACAATTTATATAGCGGTGCTCGGTGGCAGCCCGGTCACTATCTACAAACACATATGCTATGTGGCCTGGGTACTAAGTAAACTACTTAAAGACGACCACCCCCCCCAACCAAGACCCTTCTGGTGTATATATTGAAACTTCCCGGAGGGCAACCCACCTCACAAAAATGGTGCATTGGGATAAGGGGAGGAAACCATCGAGGTTCCGCTATGCCCCAAAGTTGTCAATCACTGTTTGGAGGCCATACAGCACAAATGAAATAAAACAGCACTACCTGGGAGGTGGCAGGGTGTCTTGAGGCCGACAAGCCAGAGATGTGCCTGCCTGAAACCAGACACAGAGAGTTAGCAGCCCCGCAGCCTGCTACATCAGCAGGCCGCAAACACGAATGAGTGAAGCTGGCGCAGGTCTTCGAACCCTAGAGTTCAGTGGTGTCAGTTCACCATAAATCCCCTGAAAGGAGGAACAACGCTGCTGTCATCAATTATCCGACCCCCAAAGGGTCCCAGCTGAAGCCAAACACTGTAGGGTTGTGCTTCAAAAACGATGCAATATCCCCGAGAAAACGGGGATAATGTACAGAATATCGATCGCAGCAGCGAAAGAGGACGCGCTGGCGAGACTGCAGAGCAGCCCCGCAAGTGCAGCCATGAGGCTCATTGATCTTGAAGCGACGGTAATACACTCCAATGGGTGTGTGGCCAGTTATACACCAGCAAACGCGAGCGAACTCAGTGATACTGTGTCCAAAGGTTGAAAGCCAAGGACCCCCATTGAGGTACGATGGCTGTATTGGCTGCCCGTCAGGCCGTTGAAGCTCTAAGAATTCAGAGCCTCGGTAGGTTGGATCCTGGAAAGTGGAGCTCCATGAATCCAGGACTGAATGTGCAGCTTGGGAGTGAAGTGTGTCTATGGAATTGTCTGTCTTGCGATGTCCGACCCTGACTTTAAGTTCGCTGGCATACTTATGTGCATCAGCATGGATGTCCCACTGCAGAGCAGATAGGACATAGACAAAGGTGATGCAGCAGAGGTCATCCACCTCAAACCACTCCTGGAGAGCGCGACAGACTGACAGGCTAAACGCCTGACCAGAGTGTATGGAAGGGTCGACCGCTTTATGGGCTGAGCCCATAGAGTCAGTAAAGACCATGATATGTTGGCAGTTTGCCTGCGTGACAGCAAGGCGCACTGCACTCGAGATGGCATTGAGTTCTGCATCAGGGGCGGTAACTCTGCCAGAGACATAGCGAGTCCTTTCGAGCTCACGATGTCCCTTGTAGATTATAGCAGCTGAAGCCGCCTGATACTGGTTGGACTGAGGGACAGAGCCGTCAGTTGCAGCCAGTACTGTTAGAGGATAGGCCCTCGCTTTCGCGATGAGCTCGTCGAGATCAGTCTAACCAGTATCAGGCAACTTCAGCCGCTATCATCTACAAGGGATACCATGAGCTCAAAAGAACTCGCTACATCTCTGGCAGGGTTACTGCTCCAGATGCGGAACTCAATGCCATGGCGTGTGCGGTGCGCCTTGCTGTCAAGGAGGCAAACTGCCAGCATATCATGGTATTTACTGACTCTATGGGCTGAGCCCATAGAGCAGTAGGCCCTTCCGTGCATTCAGGTCAGGCTTTCAGTCTGTCGGTTTGTCGCGCTCTCCAAGAGTGGTTTGAGGCGGATGATCTCCGCCGCATCACCTTCGTCTACATCCCATCTGCTTTGCAGTGGGATATCCATGGTGAGGCACACAAGTATGTCACCGAACTTAAAGTCAGGGTTGGACGTCGGAAGACGGACAATTCTATAGACGCGCTACGCTCTCGAGCTGCGCACTCAGTCCTGGATTCGTGGAGCTCCACTTTCCAGGATCCAACCTACCGAGGCTCTGAATTCCTAGAGCTTCAACTGGCCACGCGCCCATTGGAGCGTATTACTGTCACTTCAAGATCAACGAGCCTCACGGCTGCACTTGCGGGGCTGCTTTGCAGTCCCGTCAGCATATTCTCTTTCGCTGTCGCGATCGCTACTCCGTGCATTACCCCCGCTTTCTTGGGGATATTGCATCTTTTATGAAGTACAACCCTACAGCATTTGGCTTCACCCGGGACCCTTCGGGGGTCAGATAATCGCTTCGGGTGGGGTTATTCCTCCTTTTGGAGGATTTATTGGTGAATTGACACCCTCGGACCTTAGGGTTCGGAGACCTGCACCCGGTTCATTCTTTCGCGCTTGCGGCCACTATTGTAGCGGATTGCAGCGCCGCTAACTTTCTGCGTCTGGTTTCAGGCAGGCGCTTCTCTGGCTTGTCGGCCTTAAGACACCCTGCCACCTCCCGGGTGGTGCTTTTCTTATTTCATTTGCGCTGCGTGGCCTCCGAACAGCGTCCGACGGCTCTGGGGTTTAGCGGGGCCTCGATGGTCTCTTCCCCTTATCCCACGTCACCGTTTTTGCGAGGTGGGTCTGGCTTTATGGGAGTTTAGGCGTTTGAGCCATAAGGCTCGTGGTTGGGGGGGCGGATGTCTTTTAGTAGTTCACTTAGTACCCAGGCCGCGTAGTGTACGTGTTTGTAGATAGCGAGCGGCCTGCCATCGAGCACCGCTATATAAATTGTTGATAAAAAAAAAAAGAAAAGATGCAGAGTAAGGTGTCCCTGCTGTTTGACAGTTCCATAGTAGCCATTGGTTTTTCCATACAGTCCAGGATGTTTTGTACCGACTCCAAGAACATGCTTGATAAAATTCTTGCACATGAAATGAAAGAAGCGTGCAGCTGCAACTGGGTTGCTAGCAATGAGGCAGTATGCATCATCAGGCAAGGGAATTTCTGGCTTGAATTCAATATTACAGTCTGCAAAATACAAGCATATCAGATGCTTATTGTCAGCTGGAGACAGAGTAATGAACCAGGATGGACAACCCATGTAGGAGATGAGCAACCATATTTCATTCTGCATGTGCTTTTTGCTAGCCAGTGAGCCTTCAACATGTCCACCTACACAGTCCAGGTCATTAATAAGCTGAAAGCAAGCCTTCTTGGCCTCTGATTCTGGTTTGACTCTCTCGCCTTGAGACAACCACTGACTGATATTGGTCAAGATAGATGGATTTTTTTTTTTTTTTTTTTTTTTTTTTGATCAACAATTTATATAGCGGTGCTCGATGGCAGTCCGCTTGCTATCTACAAACACGTACACTACACGGCCTGGGTACTAAGTAAACTACTAAAAGACATCCGCCCCCCCAACCACAAGCTTTATGGCTCAAACGCCAAGGCTCCCATAAAGCCAGACCCACCTCGCGAAAATGGTGACGTGGGATAAGGGGAGGAGACCATCGAGGCCTCACTAAACCCCAAAGCCGTCGGACGCTGTTCAGAGGCCACGCAGCACAAATGAGATAAGAATCACACCACCTGGGAGGTGGCAGGGTGTCTTGAGGCCGACAAGCCAGAGATGCACCTGCCTGAGACCAGACGCAGAAAGTTAGCGGCGCCGCAATCCGCTATAATAGCGGCCGCAAGCGCAAAAGAATAGCAGTGGGCGCAGGTCTCCGAACCCTAAGGTCCGAGGGTGTCAATTCACCGATAAATCCTCCAAAAGGAGGAATAACCCCGCCCAAGGCGATTATCCGACCCCCGAAGGGTCTCGGGTGAAGCCAAACGCCGTAGGGTTGTACTTCATAAAAGCTGCAATGTCCCCAAGAAAGCGGGGGTAATGCACAGAGTAGCGATCGCGACAGCGAAAGAGGATGTGCTGGTGAGACTGCAGAGCAGCCCCGCAAGTGCAGCCGTGAGGCTCATTGATCTTGAAGCGACAGTAATACGCTCCAATGGGCGCGTGGCCAGTTATACACCGGCAAACACGAGCGAACTCAGTGATGCTGTGTCCGAAAGTTGAAAGCCAAGGTCCCCCATTGAGGTACGATGGCTGTAGTGGCCTCCCGTCAGGCTGTTGAAGCTCTAAAAATTCAGAGCCTCGGTAAGTTGGATCTTGGAAAGTGGAGCCCCACGAATCCAAGACTGAGTGCGCAGCTTGAGAGCGGAGCGTGTCTATCGAATTGTCCGTCTTGCAGCAGCCAACCCTGACTTTAAGTTCGGTGACGTATTTGTGTGCTTCACCATGGATATCCCACCGCAGAGCAGATGGGACGTAGACGAAGGTAATGCAGCGAAGGTTATCCGCCTCAAACCACTCTTGAAGAACGCGACAAACTGACAGGCTAAAAGCCTGACCAGCATGCACGCCATGGTCAACCGCTCTGTGGGCTGAGCCCATAGAGTCAGTAAAGACCATAATATGTTGGCAATTTGCCTGCTTGACAGCAAGACGCACTGCACATGAGATGGCATTGAGTTCCGTGTCCGGGGCGGTAACTCTGCCAGAGACATTTAAGCTCACAATGAGTGCCCCCGACCTAGTGGCAGCCGAAGCCGCCTGATACTGGTTGGACTGAGGGACAGAGCCATCAGTTGCAGCCAATACTGTTAGTGGGTTGGCCCTCGCTCTCGCGATGAGCTCATCTAGGTATGGACGCCTATCCTGGGTAGGATCGCGCTCATCAAAGTGGAGACGGTCCGCATAGCGGTCCAGTAACCGATCACCTGGACGAGCTTCAGGCGCAAAGGGCTCGAAACTCTCAGTTAAGGTGTGAACGTGCTCGTCCACTTCCATGACAGTGCTCTTGACTTTCCCTCGCCATGGCTGGGGTCATCAGGGCGCCAGAGCGAGCATGTGGTGCGGCTCGCTTGAGGAGTCCCTCGCCCAACATGGAGCAAAGAGGGTGGGTGTCCGAGAGGGTGGCGACACGATACACTGTACGCGTTGCCAACTTCTTCAGCATAAGATGGACAGGGATGAGGCCCGCTAGAGCCTCAAGACCGCCTGTAGGTGAGGTGCGGAACGCACCCGTGATCCATAGAGCAGCTTTTCGCTGCATCCGTTTCAACTGGTTCATCGCACCCTTGTTGCGGGCGCCGTCGAAATACCAGAGACAATAGCCGTATGTGGCAATGGGGACCACACACGACCGATATAGGAGTCAGCGCTGTTTAGGCGAAAGACCTCTAGTAGAGTTCCCGAGCATGCGCATGGCCTGCACAGTGGTAAACGCCTTGGTGGCGTAGTAGCGAACGTGCTCATGAAAGGTGAGCCCGCGGTCAAAGTAGAAGCCCAAGTACCTCCAATAGGTCTTGGGCTTCAAAGGTGTATCGCCGGTATGAGGGGCGTACCCCAGATCCAGCGAGGGATTGTAGGCATCTCGACGACGCGAGAAGTGAAACAACTTGGTCTTGTCGTGTTCAAGAACGAGCGCGAAGGCAACAAAGAGAAGGTAGATAATTTTGTAGGCCTTACGCAGGCCCACATTATTATCATCAAGTTGTTTGGATTGGGCCAGAATGGTCCCGTCATCCACAAAGGAAAGCAGCGTCATGTTGAGTGGCGCCGCCTTGATATAGAAGAGCTTCATTACCGGAGCAATGAACAGCCCAGAGATAACAGGCGAGAGAGCAGAGCCCTGCCCGACACCCACGTCCGCAGACCGTGAGTCGGATTGGAAGGTGTTCCAACAGTAAACTGTGGAGTGGCCTACAAGGTAGGAGGCAAAGAATTCCACCAGAACCGGTGAAAACCCTTGCTTGCGAAGTACAGCCATGAACATCTCATGGTTGATAGAAGGGAAGAACTGCGCGATGTCAAAAGCCAGCGCGCTAGTCTGGAGACCCTTAACCCACCCTGCTCGCATGAGATGAGTCAGAATCAATCCAGCATCCTCGGTGGACCTCTGGCGGATACCGCCAAGTTGATTGGGATGGAAGATATCATGCTTGACGGCGTCAAACTGTATCCTATTGGCAATCATCTTTTCGATAAGTTTACCAAAAGTGATGAGGAGTACGATTGGCCTGAAGGCCTTCGGCACGGAATAGGAGGGCTTGTTCGGCTTCGGAACGATAACCGATAGCGACTCCTTGAATATACGCGGCCAATGACCCACCCGAAGGCAAGCGTTGGCCAACACGATGAAAAGCGCAAGGACGTGTTTATCCTTGAGCAGCTCCTTTAGGTGGACCCATGTGATATGGTCCGGTCCTGGTGCAGAGGAGTTGGAGCACCCCTTAAGGGCACTCAACAACTCATGCTCCGAAAAGTCAGCCCACTCGCGGACCGGCTCATTGGGAAGCTCATCTAAGACTGAGGCATCGTACTCGCGACCAGAGGCCAAATTGTACATGCTGTGAAGGGCGTCCCATAGGTCGTCCATATCGTGGCAAGGCTGGTTGCCATCGCGAATAGCCTCACAGGGTGGTAGCTTGCGCTGTTTGACCCATTCCATCAGGTCCCATGGGCGCTTGCGAGAGGTAGCAATTTCTGCGATGCATTCATCAAAGAAATCATCCTTGGCATCCTTACATGCCTTCTTAAACTTGTTGTAATCAGCGAGCGAGCGGCTCAACTGATATACGCTGAATGTCTCCGAGCACTCATCCGTCCACCAGGACTTGGAGCGCTTGGTAGGTTTGGACTTGGTCGAATGGGCAAGCCATGCGTCCGAGAACGCTGTCGCGATAGCATCAGCTAAAGCTTCAACGCCTTCCTTGGTTGCCGGGGCTGCGACAGGGATAGCCGCAAGATCCCAGAGAATATCCGAAATGAAAGACTTCTCAGCCTCGCTTCTGGGTTTAATTGTCCGTCGCCCAGATCCGGGCGGTTCGGGACCGATATCAAGATCTGTGCAGATCAGGACATGATCTGACAGACCCTGGAGATCGTGCTCCAATCTGGGCATCGAGATTAAGATCTCAGATGGAGCTAAGAATACAAGATCCAAGACGTTGGATCTCTGGTTTGGATTAGGACTGATCCGCGTCGGTCCATGGTTAGAAAGTCGTGCCCACTCGAGGCTGATCTGAGATGCGGTATCCCGCAGTAATATTGCCGTCGACGACTCGCCATGCTCATAGTCATCCCAAGTCGTCGACACGCAGTTAAAGTCACCAGCCATGTAAATGAAAGGTGGTAGAGAATGCACACGAGCAGCTAGGTGCTCAATGGCTGTGTGTTGATCGTCAGAGTAGACGTTCATTAAGTTAAGAACCTCACCCCCGCTGAAGAGGGAGAGGACTGAGAGGGTAGCGATATGGTACACCGTGTGCATTGCCAACTTCTTCAGCATGAGATGGACGGGGATGAGACCTGCTAAGGCCTCAAGACTGCCTGTAGGTGAGGTGCAGAAAGCACCCGTGATCCATAGAGTAGCTTTATGCTGCATCCATTTGAGCTGGTTCAAGGTGCCATCAGGAAAAATCCCTTTATGGAAAGTGTTGATTAATTGCCAAAACTGATCCAATGTGATCTGATGTGACTCCAAGCTATCCAAACCACTCTAAGGAGAGCAGAGAAAAGAATTAAAGCCATATGAGTACATGAAAGTATTCATTGCAGTATATTTAATACTCTAGTGGTTTGTACAGGTCAGATTTACAATGTAGTATCTTCTTTGTGGTTCCCAGTTCAAACTGGGCCTTTCTGGGCTATTTTTCTTCTCAGACACAAAGGGTGATTGGATGGATACTGCATTAATATCACAGAATTGCAGTTATATAAAATATTTGGGCTGCACCAAGAGAAAAATGTCAAATACCTTGTACTGGCCGCTTTTTCCAAAAGTAAAGATAAAATATCTCAACAACCGCTCACTCAATTCATCTCAATTTTTGTACATCACTACGCGTATAGTATGCGTACACAATCTGAAATTTTTGTGGTTTTAGGTGCAAAATCCATTGAGATATAATGGTTGCACATTTGTGAAAACCCGCATTTGAATATCTCAACAAATAAAAAAGATGAAACCACACAAGTCGAGATCCATTAACGAGGATACTATATGTACATGCCCACCGAATTTCAGCATCATAGCTTCAGTGGTTGCTGAGATATTGCACCAACACTGTAAATGAGTGCACTGTTTTCAAGCTCTAAGTCATTTCAAACTCAGACAGGCTGGACGCTCATACCAGAGGTGGAAGCTAAATATCTCAGGAACCGCTAGAGCTACTGCCTTAAAAATTTACAGGCAACTAGATTACATATTTCTGATAATGTCTGTAAAGCGAAATGTTATTGTAATGAGTATTGACCGAGATATGGAGATGCGGGTTTTTCCAAAAGCGCACAGGCTATTTCTCCTTCATTATTCACCCTAATTTCCTGAAACTCTACAGAACTGTTCCTTTATATTATGAGAAAAGGTGTGTAAATTTTCAGAAGCATAGCTACAGCAGTTGTCGAAATATTTAGCTCAAGGACAACAGCTTCTCTGCTGGTTGCTCATATCAGAGGTGGAAGCTAAATAGCTCAGGAACTGCTAAAGCTACTGCCATGAAAATTTGAAGGCAACTAGACTACATACTTCTGATAATGTATGCAAAGTGAGATGTCATTGCGACGAGTATTGACCGAGATATGGAGATGCGGGTTTTTCAAAAAGCGCACAGGCTATTTCTCCTTTATTATCTGCCCTAAATTTTTGAAAAGCTGCAGAGATGTTTATTCAAACTATAAGTAACAGTGTACAAATTTTCAGGAGCATAGCTATAGCAGTTTTTGAGATATTCAACTTGAGGTGAACAGCCTGTCTGCTGTATAGCAGTGTCACATGTGGGAATAAGGCTCATAGGTGGACTCATTTCCCATTCGTCTCTTTCTTCCTCCCCTCATCGTTGCATTCCCCTCTTTGTCTGAACAGCCTCTATACTCCTATGTTATAGTCTAGGAGTGAAATAAGATAAGTTTTATAACTGTTTCAGTTTTGTACTGATGTATTCAACTGCCAGGTCATCACCATTCACCGACGTCCTCTTTCTCTCGAACGCCCACTGGTCAACAAGCGTAAACAACTAGCTCATCGTCTCTTTCGTCGTCCAACGCTTTATCGCCTCGTCAGACCTTACCGCCTGATCGTTCGTACCGCACCAGCAACACATGTCCGACCTCCCACCGAGAGGTCGGGGCGCGAGGCCCCCCGGGGCGGTTCCTAGGAGCCGTCATGGAGGGGACTCGGGCTCCGCCCCACCAGCAATACCACCATCGGTCGCTGGCTCATCGTCTTTTGGCGGTGATGCCTCGCCAATCTCGCCAGACCCTACCTCGACTAGGGCCACTTACTCGACGGTCGTGCCAGCTCGATCTCGCCACACGTCGCCCCGCCGCAGGTCCTGTTCCACCACGGGTTCCGCCCATTCGTCCGCAGATGAGTCTGACTCAGGGACGGCCCAACCCCAGGAGATGGAGGTTGAGGGCACTCAGGGAGGGGAGGAGGTCTCGAGGGACCCCTCCGTCGACCTACTCTTAGGTCAATACGCCTTGAAGTTCCGAGACACAGTCGAGGATCTTCCTGGCGATCTTGAGGTATTGACCACCTCCATTGCGAAGGCCACAGACTGGGTTCTGCGGGCCGCGCACCACAATCCGCTCACCATCGATGGGGGCGATGCCTTCGTGGCCCAGATGACGTCCTTTGTGAACGCCGTCATGGCCACCGACTTTTTTTTTTTTTTTTTTTTGATCAACAATTTATATAGCGGTGCTCGATGGCAGCCCGCTTGCTATCTACAAACACGTACGCTACGCAGCCTGGTTACTAAGTAAACCACTAAAGGACGACCGCCCCCCCAACAAGGGGAGGAAACCATCGAGGTTCCGCTACGCCCCAAAGTCGTCGATCGCTGTTCGGAGGCCACGCAGCGCAAATGAGATAAGAAAAGCACCACCCGGGAGGTGGCAGGGTGTCTTAAGGCCGACCAGCCAGAGAAGCGCCTGCCCGAAACCAGACGCAGAAAGTTAGCGGCGCCGCAATCTGCTACAATAGCGGCCGCAAGCGCAAAGAAATAGCGGTAGGCGCAGGTCTTCGAACCCTAGAGCTCGGTGGTGTCAATTCACCATAAATCCCCCGAAAGGAGGAACAACCCCGCCCACCACGATTATCCGACACCCGACGGGTCCCGGTTGAAGCCAAACGCCGTGGGGTTGTACTTCATAAACGATGCAATATCCCCGAGAAAGCGGGGATAGTGTACAGAATATCTATCGCGACAGCGAAAGAGGATATGCTGGCGGGACTGCAAAGCAGCCCCGCAAGTGCAGCCGTGAGGCTCATTGATCTTGAAGCGACGGTAATACGCTCCAATGGGCGCATGGCCAGTTATACACCGGCAAACGCGAGCGAACTCAGTAATACTGTGTCCGAATGTTGAAAGCCAAGGTCCCCCATTGAGGTACGATGGCTGTAGCGGCCGCCCGTCAGGCTGTTGAAGCTCTAAAAATTCAGAGCCTCGGTAGGTTGGATCTTGGAAAGTGGAACTCCACGAATCCAAGACTGAGTGCGCGGCTCGAGAGCGAAGCGCGTCTATGGAGTTGTCCGTCTTGTGACGCCCAACCCTGACTTTGAGTTCGGTGACGTACTTGTGTGCCTCACCATGGATATCCCACCGCAAAGCGGAAGGGACGTAGACGAAGGTAATGCGACGGAGATCATCCGCCTCAAACCACTCTTGAAGAGCGCATGGCCACCGACTTCAGTCGTATTTGCGGACCAGGCAAACTCGACAACTTCTCGCTCGCCTCTCTTCTCGAGGCTGAGACGTCTTCTAAGGACGAGCCGACTATCCACCCGGCTCCCGTATTCAGGCCTCCTCCTCCTGCTGCCCATGGGCCGCTCGATGAGGGTGTCGCTGGCGTAGGGGCCCCGCCCGACGTCCTCATGCAGGCTTTGGACGACCTCGGTCGTCCGGCCTCCCCTCCTCGCATCCCCGCTTCCAGGAAGCGTAAGGGTGTTGATCGCCCGGTCCCACCTCCTCCTCAGAAGAAGAGTAAGGTGGCCTACTCTCGCCCTGGTCCGCCTCCGCCGATCAACCGCGCCACTAAACCCAAGCCCCGTCCAACGACGTGGGCAGGGATTGCCAAACAGGCCGCTCCGATGCCTCCCCCGCCTTCTGGCTTGGGACCGCAACGTCGCGGGCCTTCTCCTCCCCCTGCATTCCCGACGGGCCCGATGAAGACATCTCCTCATCGGTCTGTCCCTTCTTTCACTTCCAAGGGCCCCACCCGGAAGCAAGTTCTCGTGTCATTCGGGGGTACCCCTCCTGACCTCACGAAGTTCTTCACCAAGTCGGCTGTCCGTGCAGCCAATGGATATCTCAGGGATGGGCAATCTATGTTAAAGGTCACCTCTGTAGTCTGCGCCTACGACGGTTTGTCGTTGCACACCCCCGCTGTTGCCAGTCCGTCCGATTTGGACATCCTGCGTAACTTCATCCGCGAAAGCCTCCCAACGGGTACCCCGTTTGAGGTTGCGCTCCTGTCGTCGACATCTTTCATAAAGATACTCGATGTTCCTTACTTTGATCCGAAAGGGTTGAAGATCACCCAGGAGGCGCTTGAAAAGGCCCTCCGTACCTCGGTTCATGCTGAGGTCTTCGCCTATCTGAGCACCAAGCCTCGGATCGACCACAACTCAGCGCACTCAACATCGTGCACCGTCTACTGCAACATCTGGGACTCCCAACAGGGACCCCGCGCCAAGAAGGCCTTAGGCCAACCGATCTTCCTCGCTGGACGGTCCTGTGCAATCAGGCCCGCCGCACGACACACCGGGGTCCCGCTCTGCCAGCGCTGCTGGAAGTGGGGCCACCCCACCGTCGCCTGCAAGGCAAAACAACTTTCTTGCCCCATCTGCTCAGGTCCGCACGAGCAGAAGGAGCACCGTCAACATGCGGGATGTTGCAAGGGCAACGCGAAAGCGAAGCCTCCTGTGCCGCCCACCCCTCGCGACCAGCCTTGCCCCCACAAGGGCCGCTGTGTCAACTGCCACAAGGACCATGCCGCCAACTCGGCTTCGTGCAAGTTCTGGGCCCATCACTACGACCGTGAGTGGATCATGGCCGAGTATCGTCAGGTACGTGAGCATGCTGCTCGCCGCCAACTTACTAACCCCCGAACCTAGACCAATGTTGGGAAACCTTCAGGATCTAAGTAGTGGGTTACGTATTTATTGTCAGAACGTTCGCCATACCTATGCCCACATTGATACACTTCTCGAAATTTGTAAAACCAAATTTGATATTGTATTTTTCCAAGAAACCCCTTGGAATTTCATAAGGCACACACCGTCCACCACTAGTATGGAGGGCGATGAGGTTATCGGCGCACCAAAGCATCCGGACTGGCTGCAGATGGTGCGCGTTAAGGAAGGGGAGGTTCCCCGTGTGATCGCCTACGTTTTGACTAGGCTATCCCGCTATCGTCCCGCTATGCGCTGTGACATCGTCAACCATCGCGATATCCTCGTCCTCTCCCTCTTCAGCGGGGGTGAGGTTCTTAACTTAATGAACGTCTACTCTGACGATCAACACACAGCCATTGAGCACCTAGCTGCTCGTGTGCATTCTCTACCACCTTTCATTTACATGGCTGGTGACTTTAACTGCGTGTCGACGACTTGGGATGACTATGAGCATGGCGAGTCGTCGACGGCAATATTACTGCGGGATACCGCATCTCAGATCAGCCTCGAGTGGGCACGACTTTCTAACCATGGACCGACGCGGATCAGTCCTAATCCAAACCAGAGATCCAACGTCTTGGATCTTCATTCACCTCTTTCTCTCGAACGCCCACTTGTCAACAAGCGCAAACAACCAGCTCACCGTCTCGCACATCGTCTAGCGCTTTATCGACAGGCCAGAAGATTCCTTTTGATCGTTCGTACCGCATCAGCAAACCATGTCCGACCTCCCACCGAGAGGTCGGGGCGCGAGGCCCCCCGGGGCGGTTCCTAGGAGCCGTCGTGGGGGAGACTCGGGCTCCGCCCCACCAGCAATGCCAACATCGGTCGCTGGCTCATCGTCCTTTGGCGGTGATGCCTCGCCAATCTCGCCAGACCCTACCTCGACTGAGGGCTATCTCGCCAGCGTCACCCCGCCGCAGGTCCCGTTCCACCACGGGTTCCGCCCATTCGTCCGCAGATGAGTCTGACTCAGGGACGGCCCAACCCCAGGAGATGGAGGTCGAGGGCACACAGGGAGGGGAGGAGGTCTCGAGGGACCCCTCTGTCGACCTACTTCTAGGTCAATACGCCTTGAAGTTCCGAGACACAGTCGAGGATCTTCCTGGCGATCTCGAGGTATTGACCACCTCCATTGCGAAGGCCACAGACTGGGTTCTGCGGGCCGCGCACCACAATCCGCTCACCATCGATGGGGGTGATGCCTTCGTGGCCCAGATGACGTCCTTTGTGAACGCCGTCATGGCCACCGACTTCAGTCCGGCGTGCATTCTGGTCAGGCTTTTAGTCTGTCAGTATGTCGCGCTCTTCAAGAGTGGTTTGAGGCGGATGATCTCCGTCGCATTACCTTCGTCTACGTCCCTTCCGCTTTGCGGTGGGATATCCATGGTGAGGCACACAAGTACGTCACCGAACTCAAAGTCAGGGTTGGGCGTCACAAGACGGACAACTCCATAGACGCGCTTCGCTCTCGAGCCGCGCACTCAGTCTTGGATTCGTGGAGTTCCACTTTCCAAGATCCAACCTACCGAGGCTCTGAATTTTTAGAGCTTCAACAGCCTGACGGGCGGCCGCTACAGCCATCGTACCTCAATGGGGGACCTTGGCTTTCAACATTCGGACACAGTATTACTGAGTTCGCTCGCGTTTGCCGGTGTATAACTGGCCATGCGCCCATTGGAGCGTATTACCGTCGCTTCAAGATCAATGAGCCTCACGGCTGCACTTGCGGGGCTGCTTTGCAGTCCCGCCAGCATATCCTCTTTCGCTGTCGCGATAGATATTCTGTACACTATCCCCGCTTTCTCGGGGATATTGCATCGTTTATGAAGTACAACCCCACGGCGTTTGGCTTCAACCGGGACCCGTCGGGTGTCGGATAATCGTGGTGGGCGGGGTTGTTCCTCCTTTCGGGGGATTTATGGTGAATTGACACCACCGAGCTCTAGGGTTCGAAGACCTGCGCCTACCGCTATTTCTTTGCGCTTGCGGCCGCTATTGTAGCAGATTGCGGCGCCGCTAACTTTCTGCGTCTGGTTTCGGGCAGGCGCTTCTCTGGCTGGTCGGCCTTAAGACACCCTGCCACCTCCCGGGTGGTGCTTTTCTTATCTCATTTGCGCTGCGTGGCCTCCGAACAGCGATCGACGACTTTGGGGCGTAGCGGAACCTCGATGGTTTCCTCCCCTTATCATCCTGTCGTCTAGTGGTTTACTTAGTAACCAGGCTGCGTAGCGTACGTGTTTGTAGATAGCAAGCGGGCTGCCATCGAGCACCGCTATATAAATTGTTGATAAAAAAAAAAAAAAGCCACCGACTTCAGTCGTATTCGCGGACCAGGCGAACTCGACAACTTCTCGCTCGCCTCTCTCCTTGAGGCCGAGACGTCTTCAAAGGACGAGCCGACTATCCACCCGGCTCCTGTATTCAGGCCTCCTCCTCCTGCTACCCATGGGCCGCTCGATGAGGGTGTCGCTGGCGTTGGGGCCCCGCCCGACGTCCTCATGCAGGCATTGGACGACCTTGGTCGCCCGGCCTCCCCTCCTCGCATCCCCGCTTCCAAGAAGCGTAAGGGTGTCGATCGTCCGGTTCCACCTCCTCCTCAGAAGAAGAGTAAGGTGGCCTACTCCCGCCCTGGTCCGCCCCCGCCGATCAACCGCGCCACCAAACCCAAGCCCCGTCCAACGACATGGGCAGGGATTGCCAAACAGGCCGCCCCGATGCCTCCCCCGCCTCCTGGCTTGGGACCGCAACGGCGTGGGCCTTCCCCTCCTCCCTCATTCCCAACGGGTCCGATGAAGACTTCACCTCATCGGTCCGTTCCTTCTTTCACTTCCGAGGGCCCCACCCGGAAGCAGGTTCTTGTGTCGTTCGGGGGTACCCCCCCCGACCTCACGAAATTCTTCACTGAATCGGCTGTTCGTGCAGCCAATGGGTACCTCAGGGATGGTCGATCTATGCTTAAGGTCACCTCCATCGTCCGTGCATACGACGGTTTGTCGTTGGTCACCCCCGCTGTTGCCAGCCCGTCCGATCTAGACATACTGCGCAACTTCATTCGCGAAAGCCTCCCAACGGGTACTCCGTTCGAGGTCGCGCTCCCATCGTCGACATCTTTCATAAAGATACTCGATGTTCCCTACTTTGATCCGAAAGGGTTGAAGATCACCCAGGAGGCGCTTGAGAAGGCCCTCCGTACCTCGGTTCATGCTGAGGTTTTCGCATATCTGAGCACCAAGCCTCGGATCGACCGCAACTCGGCGCACTCGACATCGTGCACCGTCTACTGCAACATCTGGGACTCCCAGCAGGGAACCCGTGCCAAGAAGGCCCTTGGCCAACCGATTTTCCTTGCTGGACGGTCCTGCGCAATCAGGCCCGCCGCAAGACACACCGGGGTCCCACTATGCCAGCGCTGCTGGAAGTGGGGCCACCCCACCGTCGCCTGTAAGGCGAAACAACTCTCCTGCCCCATCTGCTCGGGTCCGCACGAACAGAAGGAGCACCGTCAACATGCGGGATGTTGCAAGGGCAACGCGAAAGCGAAACCCCCTGTGCCGCCCACCCCTCGCGACCAGCCTTGCCCCCACAAGGGCTGCTGTGTCAACTGCCACAAGGACCATGCCGCCAACTCGGCCTCGTGTAAGTTCTGGGCCCATCGCTACGACCGTGAGTGGATCATGGCCGAGTATCGTCAGGTACGTGAGCACGCTGCTCGCCGCCAACTTACTAACCCCCGAACCTAGACTAATGTTGGGAAACCAGCAGGATCTAAATAGCGGGCTACGTATTTACTGTCAGAACGTCTGTCATACATATGCACACGTAGACACTCTCCTCGAAATTTGTAAAAACAGATTTGATATTTTATTCTTCCAAGAAACGCCTTGGAATTTCATAAGACACGCACCGTCCACCACTAGTATGGAGGGCGATGAGGTTATCGGCGCACCAAAGCATCCCGACTGGCTGCAAATGGTGCGCATTAAGGAAGGGGAGGTTCCCCGCGTGATCGCCTACGTTTCGACTAGGCTGTCCCGCTATCGTCCCGCTATGCGTCGCGACATCGTCGACCATCGCGACATCCTCGTCCTCTCCCTCTTCAGTGGGGGTGAGGTTCTTAATCTAATGAACGTCTACTCTGACGATCAACACACAGCCATTGAGCACCTTGCAAATGCTCGTGTGCATTTTTTACCACCTTTCGTTTATATGGCTGGTGACTTTAACTGCGTGTCAACGACTTGGGATGACTATGAGCATGGCGAGTCGTCGACGGCGATATCACTGCGGGATACCGCATCTCAGATCGGCCTCGAGTGGGCACGACCTTCTAACCATGGACCGACGAGGATCAGTCCTAATCCAAACCAGAGATCCAATGTTCTGGATCTTGTATTCTTAGCCCCATCTGAGATCTTAATCTCGATGCCCAGATTGGAGCACGATCTCCAGGGTCCGTCAGATCATGTCCCGATCTGCACAGACCTTGATATCGGTCCCGAACCGCCCGGATCTGGGCGACGGACAATTAAACCCGGAAGCGAGGCTGAAAAGTCTTTCATTTCGGATATTCTCCGGGATCTTGCGGCTATTCCTGTCGCAGCCCCGGCAACCAAGGAAGGCGTTGAAGCTTTAGCTGATGCTATTGCGACAGCGTTCTCGGACGCATGGCTTGTCCATTCGACCGAGTCCAAACCTACCAAGCACTCCAAGTCCTGGTGGACGGATGAGTGCTCGGAGACATTCGGAGTATATCAGCTGAGCCGCTCGCTCGCTGACTTACAAGTTT